ATCCATATAAGGGGATTCGAATACAAGGAAAGACCATGTATATGAGCTCCAATTGTTACGGTCACGCAATTAACCGCTACTGCTGAATGCTTATCATATCAAAGAACACTTAACTTTTCCTCCTACTGTCCACTCTCTCATATCAATACAATAACATCCACAACAACGATTTCAGTACCTTGTGTAATTCACGAACACACAAGCATATCCCAAACCCTGGAACGAACAACTTCCAATCCACAAAATCTAATCAAGATAATTCCTTCGATTACAATTCCTCTCCACTAAACTTACAACCTTGCGATAAACAGTGACTGGAAACTTCCATACGTCTTCAATCTTTTACAACAATTGATAAACAGTGATCCATAAACAACTTTGTAAATCAAACATTAATTCATTAAACTGACTCTCTTCACTAGAATCAACACTAACACAAAAGAAACAAGAAAACTAAGAAGAAGAGATAGCACCAAGCTTATCTTCGGCTCAGTACTATTGCAGTTTGGCATTTTCTTCTCCTCTTCCATCCTCTTTATACTACCTCAACATACCAACTCCTATACTACAGATGATAACTACTTTTCCTGACTATTCATCCATTCTACCTGTTGAACCACCTTTTCAACAGTTATCTATCCCTGTTTATACTATACACTAGGTATCTACATTCTAAAAATAACTACTTATTCTATACTACTCCAATAGCAAAGTTGGAAGCATCAATGTCAAGCGTACAAGAAAGGTTAGGATTATACAATTGCAATATTGGAGCAGTAATGAGTGCTTCCTTTAGCCTATCAAAGGAGCTTTGGTGCTCTAGCTTTCATTCAAATGTGGCACTCTTTTCCAATAGGTTTGTCAATGAGGGAGTAATGTGAGTAAATCACTGAACAAAATAGTGATACTATCCAATAAGGCCTAAAAATGAGCAAACTTCAAAAGTATTCTTAGAGGTTGGCCAATCCTCCATTGCTTTCACCTTATCTTATACTATTCACATATCTTTGGACAATACCACATGTTCCAAAAAGATGACTTTTGACTTTTAAAGTTTATATTTTGATTGCTTGTAATAGAAGCAACTATCTTATAATGGAGTAATATTTCTCATAGGTGTTGCTCATGCTCTTTAAAAAATTTATTATATATGAAGATATCATTAATGAAGATGACTACGTACTTATCTAAAAGGTATTGAAATAATTGATTCATGTGATCCATGAAAGATGTTAGAGCATTGGTCACATGAAAAGGTAAAACTATCCATCAAAATGTAAATAGCGTATATAAATTGCCTTCATTTTTACATCTTCTTTTGCAATAAGTGTTTGCCAATAGCAGCTTTAATGATCCAATTTACTAAAGATGGTCACACCTCAAAGTTGATTAAGAAGATCATCTACACGTGAAAGTAGATATGCATTTTTATTAGTCTAGTTATTGAGGCCTCGATAATCAATGCAAAGGCAAAGTCTACCATTCTTCTAGGGTGCATAGAATACATGTGCTCCCTATGGTATTGTGCTTTCTCAAATGAGGCCTTTCTTCAAGAGTTTGTCTAATGTCTTCCATAGCTCTTTAAGTTCTTTTGGTGCTACATAATAAATTGATTGACTTACTAGTTTGACTTTGGAGAATGGTCCTATTCGAAAAGAGGTACCTCGATTAGGAGGCACGCCACTAGGTAGGTTGGTTGAGAAGAAATCTTGATGTTTTTGTATGAGTTGATTTGCCCATGCTACTCATTTGATTGTCTTTCCTACCACTCATATAAGATTTGAAACTACCATATATATCGGTTGCTTATGCTGTATTTGCTTCTTCATAAAGGTCATCTCTACGAATAAGTCTTTGATTACAAATTATCTTTCTTCTTTATTTGATATGGAGGTAAAAAGAGTCACCTTATGTCTACCATCTTTAAAGGAGATTTTCCTTGCTATCAAATCAATTTTCTTACTTTCCATCTCTAGCCATGGCATATCAAAGATAATATCATATCTTAGCTTTGTCACCTTAGACCTCTCTCTTAAGACATAGGTGTTAATTAACTTTAAGGTTTCTTCTTCACATGTCTCATTCAAAACATTCTTTCAGTTATCTGTAAGGTATATACTTCTTCCTTTGATTACTTTAGTTTTAATTCCAAGCTGGCCGGTAATTTTAGTTCTGATGAAATTTTTTATAGAGCCCCAATCTACAAGTATTCAACATGGTTGTCTTCTTAGTAGTCCCATTAGATGCACCAATTGATTATTTTTATAATTGCCTAATGTTATATTATTTGTCTTTGAGAGACAGTAGCTATTCTTAATATTGGTTCTTAGTGCCTTACTTGAAGAGCCTGTTTTCTTCCTTTGTCTCATTATCGACTTGATGAATTTCAAGATTGTAAACCCACCTTATCTCGCTCATACTTGAATTTTGACATTTTAGGCAACCTCCAATCTGATGGCTTAGTTCTCAATAATAGAAATATAATCTCTTTTGTATTAATATTTGTTGTCTTTGTGGTACCAATGATCCTTGTAGTGGATCAATTTTTATTAGTGTTGGTTCTTCTACCACAACATTGAATAGCGGCATGGGACTTTATGCTATAAGTTGTACTCGAAAATTTTTAAAATCTGTAGAATCGACCCTCTCTGCAATCTAAATTATCTCTTTGAAATTTTATAGTTCTTTTAGTTCTACCTCTCATTAGACTTCAATTTTCAAACCTCAAAGGAATTGATCCATTATCTCAGCCTCTGAAATATTGCAAAATTAGAGACATAGAAACTTGAATCAAGAGACATAATCTTGCATCAATCTAAATTGTGTAAGATTTATTAATTGATCACATGCTATCTTCTCCGCATTGATGGACCAAAATTAATTCCTAAACTTGGTCTCAAACTCCTCTCAATCACAAAATCCACCTTGAGCTCCATAGCTTTGAACTCAATGTTGCTACCAAATGGCTACAGCATCTCTCAAATAACTACCTACATATATAATTCCTTCTATGGTATTTGTTCCAGATAGTTGGAAGTATTGTCGCATGTTGAAGAGCCATTGACATACATCTCCTTATCTTGAAGTCCCAGAGTATGTAATAGACTTACTCAATTTCAGCCTAACAAATGTCAACTTCTTTATCCTCAAGGCTTCAATTTGTCCTTGCAAAGTAGCTATCTCACCTAAGAAGTGTTGTATTTTAGTCTCTATCTAGGATTGCTCTGCCATATCTTACATGCTGTAATTTCTCTACTAGATTCCACTATTAATGATGTTGTCTCATCCCTCGGTTGACTTTTTAAGAGTAGCTCGTGGTAGCCTCAATATAATGTCCAGTGTAACCACAACAACTAACTTTGGACTAGATGATGACTATTGACATACTACCAAGAATAAATAATCTAATACTTGCTTTGATACTAATGAAACAAGACCAGTCTATCTCAAAAAAAAAATCTAAGATCCTTCAAATCTACAGTAACTTAAAGCATCATCACAAAGTAAAACAAAATAGACTAGAACAAAAATAAACAAAACTAAACAAAAGTAATCAAAATATGACACAAAAGACAAAACTAAGAAAATGGAAATAGAACAAAATTGAACTAAATAGAGGGATGCAAAACCAAATTTTCTTAAGAAAAAGGATCTGAAGCCATACTTGACAAAATGCTCAAAAAGACCCTGACTAGTCCTATTTACATCTTGTTCTACTATTTTAGACTTTTTAGAATGTTCCTAAGTGGATCCTACCTAGTCTACTAACCTAACTCCAATTCTAGAAAGTTCCATGGTTCTAACTATCTATCCCTATACAAATAACTTATCTATACCTTGTTATACTTCTTATCTTTGACAATAGTTATTCTAGTTTAATACTATATCATCTTTGAATGATTTTTTAGTCCTTTTGAGTAACATAAGATTGTATTGAAGAATTCTTTTTTTAAGATTCATGTCCTTGATATCTGTAGGTGAAATTTATGTTATGTTGTATTTTTTTTTTATTATTATTAGGAGTTATTTAAATTATTATTGCATTTTAGGTTGTCAATAAGCATGGAATATTTTTTAAATAAAATCACCACATTAATCACAATTCTATTAATATTACAACTTTAGATATGTTGAATTTAAATGTTTACCTAAAACATTGCTTTTTTACTCTCTATCTTTGTTTTTAGAGAATGTTGTTCTAAGATCATGGTTGAAAAATGAATAATTTTGTTTGTTCAAGAATTGAGCAAACAACACTTTTTAAATGAATATGTTAAACTATTGATTCCTTGAAATATGTTTAGACTTTAGAACAACAAAATATAAAAAGACACTCTACAAGGGATATCCTTGCTAGATTCGTATGTAACTGCTCATAACTTATATGAAGCTTCCAATTTCGTTCATGCATAAGTTAAAAAAACGTTTTTGAATGTTTCGGTTCTTTCTCAAAATTATAAAAAAATAAGACGTGAATAATTGTGACTAAACGAGAACACTTCTCATTCCCAATTCCCGAAGTGTACGCTGGCAACCGCCATGATATTATGAGATGGAGATTCAGAGATGACAAGTTGCCTCAAGAATGAGTCCTGAACGGATTTAAGCCAGCACAAAATCAGAACAAAACCAGTGCGTAGCTGAAGGAATCCAACAGAGGACAGATAATTTGACTAATCTAAATTGTTTCATGCAACGGTGGGACGAGTTGACTTTACAAAAATGAGTTCACAACATAATTTCAACTCAAATACATGCTTCCAGAGCTCAACAACGCAACAAAGCATGTACAACGCAATGTTCAAACTTGGAACAGTCCACTCAAATCCCAACACCCACGTGATTGTACGAAAATGATGTTTCAACTGTCCTCCGGTAAGTGATCCGTAAGCGATCGTTATTACACTCCCACAAATAAGTAATATCAAGCATGTCACTTATAATGTCTAAGATCTAGGAACAATCTCCATGCAAATCATGAAGCTAAACCTGTACACCAGTTTGAAGACAAGAATCCATCGACTTGCCTGCGAGTCATCCGTAACACTGCCCACCATTTCGATTATTGCTCCATGCCATTCATACATTTCAAATGAATAACTACAATCTAGCTGCGAAAGTGGTCGCGGCTTCAATTTCATTAGTTCTGTAAACTAGCATAACAGACACCTCAACTTAATTTACACCTAAAAAGATGTAGTGCTTCGGCGCTATAGAAATCAAGCTCCTCGCTATCAACTTGGATGCAACGAAGTGTGTATAGGTACAATAAAGGATCTTGACCAAAATTCCGGCAAGTCCATCTTGACCGGGCAGATTCCATCCCCAACTGCTCATCTCCAAATAGATTCTTCAACCTCCCAACAATGTTCAGTGAGCTACAGTAGTTCAAGTCACCAGGTTTCACTGTTTTGAGTACTACTACGTTGAAACAGTCGTAAGGTTAAGCGTACATTGGAATTGCGGAAGATCTTTCTATAAATACTTCCTTTTGAAAACCATGTGAATTCTCGCATCACAACATCAGTGTCAGTTCGAATGGTCACTGCCTGGAACATGACGGCAAGCGTGCCAAAAAGTAACTCCAATTTGTAGGGTAAAGATCATATCCTTGGAAGCAAGGGCAAAACCAACAAAGGATTGGAGTATTCTCCACAAACACTTTCTGTCGCTAAAACCTGAAATAACATGAGTCCAATGCGGACAAGCAATAAGCACATATATCCGTTCAGATATAACAATGATCACCGTAAGGGAGTCTCCTACCGAAGAACCCCGAATACAAAGGGAAATAAACCTAACAAATACCAGTAATAAAACAAATTTAAGCAGCAAATAGTCACTTACGGCTGCTTGTTTAGTAGCCATTACTACCAATGCAGAACGCTTCTTAAGAGACTTCCTTGCCCGAACCACCAAGTCTTGAATCTCACCAAATTCCTGGAATATTTTCTCTAATTGAGCTGCCGAGTAATCCCCAGCACCTCCCTCAAGGCATGTCCATGAGACTTTAAGTGTCCTCTCTGCCTCTGTGGCCTCCGAATTAGAATTTGAAATTGGGATCTCAGGCGCCGCAAACGACGGCTCTTTAAACTGATGACGGTTTAGACCCGCTGAATTTCGCATATCGAAAGCAGGAGTTTCTTTGCGTATTTGTGGAGCGTGCAAACCCGAAGATGTCCCCAAATCGAAGTACGAACGTGCTACAGATTTTCGACCATGAGCCTTGTTGATACTTGCAATCTGTTCTTTCAATTGCTTCTGCACATAGTCCTCTTCTAATTTAACTTTCTGCTCCCTATCATACGCCTTTTCTTTCTCTGCCAAAGTCCGCATCATCTTCTGGCGCTTTTCACTTTGTTTACTCTCCTTATCCACCCTCTCCTTTCGAACCCGCAGCAATTCATCGTACGAAGCACGAGCCCTCTCGTCATTTAGTATTTCATAAGCCTTTTGCAATTTCTGAAACTCCACAGCTGAATCCAAGACATCTCTGTCAATCAGTGTATTGAAAGAATCGAAAATTCGCAGCTATATTCCTCAACAAACTGTCTGAACCTCTTGAAAATTCCCCCACATAATTCCTGGGCCGCTGTGCTTAAACTGTTCACTGTAATCCTCTGCGCTACCTCCGTCAATTTAAAAACCATTACCACGCTAGCCACGCCCATTTCAAACCCAGTCATAGCTCTGATTTTAGAGAAACCCTAAATTGTATTAGCTACGGAAGCATCATCTTGCCAGCACAGGGAGAATGAAATAGTTACTGAGATATCCTGATGAAAAAAAAAAAAAAAGAAAAAAAAACGACTACCTCCAGTACTTACAACTCATACTGATTTTACAATACACATCCGTAAGAATCGCGACGCGGATGAAAGTCCTACGAATTTATACATGAGGTCGCGAAACCACTACCGCACACTTCACCTAGTCTCCTCAACAAAGCACCTCAAATACTTCCAATCTATCAAGTCCCTCTATTCTTTCCATAGGGATCAAGTCCATCCCACACCATGACACGAAAGATTAATTCGCAGTATGGAAAAGGTTCGAACAAGACAACTTCGAAACACTTAAGCGTTAAGAAGTTTAAACAGCGAACGGGCTATGATTCAAGCTGGAGCAGAACCACTACCTTGTCCGCAACAAAAAATTAATTAATTAATTAATTTTAAAAAATCACGAACTTTGGAGACAAAATGAGTAAAGTGAACCGTGTCATGGAAGACCTCACCCACCAGCACCAGGATCATCCCCACGCTTGTCGGGATGAAGCTCTAAGGCCCGCTTGCGATAAGCTTTTCGAATATCAGCATTCTGCACCTGCGGCCCAGACTCTTGCAGCCGAAATACGGCATACAAATCCTCTTGTTCCTCCATACCTGTCGCTAACCACACTCTGCAACTAGCCCGCTCTGGTGTTGCAACAAGATCACCTCACACCCATCGCTAACGACACAGAAACCAGCTCCGGTTGGGTGTTGCAACAAGATCACCTCACACCCATCGCTAACGACACAGAAACCAGCTCCGGTTGGGTGTTGCAACAAAACAACCTGAATCTCATCTCATCGCTTCGCAGCAACCCCAGAGAGCACAGGAGAGACAAAGCAAAGGCCTGCACAACAAACAACCCCTACAACGGGACCGTAGAACAAGGGTTTGGATACCCCCCTCCCTGCTGATTCAATTTCTGGGAACGGAGGGAGGGAACGTAGGGGAACCAGGATTAGGGGTGGGCAGGTTGGGAACGACTTACAACTCAGGACCCATCCCTCATTGGGCCTACACTGATCCCGTCGCAAGAGTTGCGCAACCAGTGTAATAGCATAGTTGACCAAGTAACAATAAGTGAGACTCTCAATCAGCCCACACATTCAATTGCACCCGCTCCGTCCAAGCTTGTTTGAAACGCATCTTAAAGGGATGCACAACCCTGCACCAGAGATAAAGCCCTCGCACAATGCAAGCATAATCGCTTCACTTTGTCACCTCTGTAATGAATTTGTTTGTCGATGCTTTGCAACGACAACGATGTAATACATGGACGAGCATCAAGTAAGGGTAGGATGACCAAATCGTGTGGCACACTTGGTCTTACTGTTGCCATCACTATTTTTAAAAAATATCATAGATTCAAAAAGTAAACTTCATATGGCATGTATTAAGAACTTTCAAATTTAACAATTATTCTTGTTTGTAATACTCAACTAAACACTTAGCTTCTTACAATATTGTTGTCCATTGCTTGTCTTTGTTTTTAAAAAAATACTTTCTTAATTCACTAAATGCATGGACATTGTTGTAGTATTGCATTAAAATAATTCTTCCAAAACAATGTCTTGTATTTGACTTACCTATCAATATAATAATGAGTTCATCAAATTATCAATTCACCTTTTCATTTAAAAATGTATACTTCATATATTTTCATATATGTTTGTTATGGATATGTATATTTACGCAAATTAAAAGAGTTATTAAAGATAAGTAGAAGTAGATAAATTAAAATTCTTGTAGCAAAACTTAAAAGCTTTGTGGACACAGATTTGACTTTAAATGTATTTGTAGGTTCAAAACTTAAATAATACATTGTTGTATTGTAGTTATTTATAATATATAAAAATTAACTAAAATATATAATATATTTATAAGTATTGATATGCATAGAGTAATTAGTAGATTAATTTAAAGAGAGTTGATGTAAGAGAATTTATTTTGAGGTTTACCTATGTTGATTATAGTGTTTAAATTATATAAGATTTAAATATTTAGTATAAAATTTAAAGATAAGATTTGGGCTCAAAGATGAAAATCTAAATTTCTAAGAAACTTATTTAGAGGGATGAAAGCAAGATATGGATGGATAAAGGCAAAAGATAAAGATCTTCATTACTATTTGTCATGGACATACCCATATAAGCCAATAATTACATGTATAAATAGGTAGAAGTAAGTAAAAGTAAGTAAAAGTAAGTTGATTCTATAGTATTTGGTATAATAGCTTCCTAGAAGCTTCATAGATATTACTTTGACTTTATAGGTGTCTTTAATTGACTTTTTGGAATTAGAAACGTGGTCAACAAGTTGGCCATGTGCCACACATGTTGTTAGCTTGAAGACCAAGCTAACTATGTGGCCCATACGTAGAAAAACTTGCCTTGTAAGTCAAAGCATGTGTCTTATAAAGTCAATACATATTGGAGGTTCTATAGAACGTCGCCATGTAGCCCCTAGTAAGATAGTATATATAGAGACAAAAATGAAGCCTTCTTCACTCTTATCAACTCCTTTCTTGCTTCTAGTTTAGTTTCAAGGGTCTCTAGTTTTTTTGGCTTTTGGCAATAGCCATTCTAGTTTCTTTCTTAATATACATATCAAGTTATTTCTATTTTGTCATCTTTCTTTGAAAAAAGTCTCACTTGTTTATTTATCTTTATCATGTTGTTGTCCTTGAAAGATTGACAAGAGTGCACTTACAATATCAAAGCTTTGTCTAATCTTGATTAAGAGTGGATTACCCCTTTTTCTTGATAAGACATAAGCATATTAGAAGTTGCGGATTACCCTCTTCTAAACTGATATTGTCCTTAGTATTTTCTTTGTTCTCAAGTCCTCTCTTCTATTTGTCTTGAGCGATATTAGACATCTTCTCTTTTCTAAGTGTTATCATGGCAGAACTTGCTCAAATGAAGAGTGCAATGGCACAAATGCAAGAGCAATTGAGGGAGTTAATGCTTGCGATGCATCAACTCAATTTACCACCACAAAGAGCAACAAGATTGGCAGGAAGTGAAGATATAGGAATGATTGGAGCTGCTTCAACGTCTGCACCAAATCATGTCTCTTTTTCTATGGTGGACGCCCTTCTAGTGTTAGAGAACTAAGAATTGCTCTACCCAAGAAATTTGATGGCACCAGATCAAAGTTTAGAGGATTTATCAATCAAGTACAACTTATGATTGAACTTCAATCCCAAAGCTATTCAACTCCAAGATTGCAAGTTAGATTCATTGATATGCTTCTTTCAAGTTTAGCATTATCATACTTCACAATTTTGACAACTTGCAACTGATATCAAGTAGGATGATGCTGCACTTATTAGCCAATTTCTCTATGGATTACAATATGAGGTAAAAAAAAATTAATGCTCAACTTACTTGATCCTCAAACATTGAGTCAAGCAATTGACTTTGCTGTGAAGTGCAACAATCGCTTTTTTGAATTTCAATTTGAGAATTGTACAAGTGGACCTCAACATTACTATAATTCAATAGTAACACCAACACCTCTTCAACACATACATTCAAACGTAGAGGATATGCAAATTGATGTAATACATTTCAAACCTCTTACTAAGCAAGAAAAGACTCGTCATCGTTAAGAAGGATTGTGCTTATATTGTGGAGAACCTAAGCACACTGCTCAACATTGCTCAAAGAAGCAACGCAACTATAAAATGAGAAGTACGGCAATCAAAGAAGATAGCATGTCAAAAAATGAATTTGTCCAATTACAATGGGTCCGTGGGGTTGGAACCTTGTACAACGCCTAGTGAAGGTCCTATCCTCTCCTCAGAACCCTCTCCATATTTTACGATAAATGTTATTCTAGGATCTAAACATCTCAAAGCCTTTGTCTTACTAGATTTAGGAGCCTCAGCATATTTCTTAGATGAAAATTTTGCTAAAAGATATAGCATACTTTTAGTAAAGAAAACTAAACCTGTTCATGTAGAAATCATAGATGGTCGTCCATTGTCTTCAAGAGATGTTACTCATGAAACCCTTCCTATAGAAATAGCAACTAATAATCATAGTAGCTTTGTAATATTTAATATCATTAGATCTCATTCTAATCTAGTCATTTTAGGTTCATCATGGCTAGAAAAATATAATCCTAAAATAGATTGGACTTCTTGTAGTCTTGACTTTTCTGAAAGTATAAGTAAGAGTATAATTAATCAAGTAGAAAGTCATAAGTCTAGTATAATTAAACCTATATTTGTAGGTGCAAGTGCTTTCTTGCATGCTGTAAAAGAAGGATCACCTTGTATCATTTATGCCATACCTATTTCTATTAGTAGAAAGACTTTAAGTGGCATTCTAAGTCAATATCAAGATTTTCAAGATGTATTTGAGAAAAAAAATGCAGATGCTCTTTCAGAACATCGTTCCCATGACTGCTCAATTGACCTTTAAGAAAGAACACAACCGCCATTTTGACCAATCTACAATTTATTACAAAATGAGTTGGCTGAATTCAAAGAGTATATTGAAGAGAATCTGGCCAAGAACTTCATACGCCATTCCAAATCTCCAGCAGGAGCTCCAATTTTATTTGTGAAGAAAAAGGATTGATCATTGCGAATGTATGTTGATTATTGAGGACTCAATAAAATCACTATCAAAAATAGGTACCCGCTACCTATGATATCTAGACCTCTTGATCAGTTATATCAAGCTAAGATCTATGCAAAAATAAATCTATGAGGAACATACAATTTGGTACGCATCAAAGAAGGAGATGAATGGAAGACTGTGTTTCGAACAAGGTATGGATATTTCAAATACAATGTCATGCCTTTTGAACTTAAAAATATACCAGCAGCATTCCAACATCTAATGAATGATGTCTTTCAGGAGTTTTTAGATGATTTTGTTGTCTGTTATCTAAATGACATCTTAATCTATTCTAAGAACTCAGAAGAACATGAACTTCATGTTCGCCAAATATTACAAAAACTAAGAGATGCAAGACTCTATGCTAAGATAGAAAAGTATATATTTTACACTACTCAAGTCGACTTCTTAGGATATATCATTTCAAATGATGAACTTATGATGGATCCTAAGAAAGTTCAAACTATTATGGATTGAAAGATCCCAAAAATAGTAAGAGATGTCTAATACTTTTTGGGATTTGCCAACTACTATCAGATCTTCATCAAAGACTTCTCTCAAGTTGTAGCTCCACTTACACATTTGACTTGCAAAGACAAACTTCAATGGAATCAAGAAGTAGAAGTAGCATTTGAAGCTTAGAAGACAGTCTTTGTTTCTACACCAATCTTGTATCGCGTCGATTTTTCTAAGCCATTTTTTATGGAAACAGATGCATCACACTTTGTTTTAGATGCCAAATTGTCACAAATGGGAATAGATAATAAACTTCATCCAATAGCTTTTCATTCTAGAAATTTTTTGCAGTCAAGATCAACTACAAGATCCACGACAAAGAACTTCTTACAATTGTGGATTCGTTTCAAGAATGGCGCCATTATCTAGAAAGTACTTCTAGCCCAATTATAGTATATATGGATCACAAGAATCTTGAATATTTTATGTCAGCACGTATTTTGAATCGTCGCCAAGCTTATTAGAATATGTCTTTGTCAAGATTCGAATTCAAGATCACTTATTGACCAGGAAAACAACAAGGTTTGTCAGATGCACTTTTTAGACAATCTTACCTTGTACCAAAGGAAGGAGATGCTGCTTTTAATCAACAACGAATAATTCTCTTCAAGCTAGAGTAACTTCATCTTCGAGCAATGAAATCAAAACTAATTGTTGATTCAACTTTCATTAAGTAAGTTCAATCAAGTATGTCTTCTAATCCTCTTATTTGTGATATTAAGAAAAATCCTTAAAA